ATATTGGCAGTTTATGTTGGTTAGATGTGCCGGCTGCGCTATTGCGTAATGGCGGTTTATGTTGGCCAGGTGTGGTGGCTGCGCTGTCGCATATTGGCAGTTTATGTTGGTTAGGTGTGCTGGCTGCGCTATTGCGTAATGGCGGTTTATGTTGGGCAGGTGTGGTGGCTGCGCTGTCGCATATTGGCAGTTTATGTTGGTTAGATGTGCCGGCTGCGCTATTGCGTAATGGCGGTTTATGTTGGCCAGGTGTGGTGGCTGCGCTGTCGCATATTGGCAGTTTATGTTGGTTAGATGTGCCGGCTGCGCTATTGCGTAATGGCGGTTTATGTTGGCCAGGTGTGGTGGCTGCGCTGTCGCATATTGGCAGTTTATGTTGGTTAGATGTGCCGGCTGCGCTATTGCGCAATGCCGGTTTATGTTGGCCAGGTGTGGTGGCTGCATTGTTAGACAGCTTCTCAGACCAACGTGGCTGGTCTGGTGCCACAGAACCAGTCTCCTGGGGGGGAGCAGACAGAAATACGGACCATCCTTTTGCCTTGACTCCCGAGTTTAGATGCAGGCTAAAAATAAAAGCGGGGGCCTGTTGCTGTTTGTAGCTCCGTGGACACAGAGGCTCTGACGTTATGTCTGCCTAATGAGTATCCAGCCAGAGAGTGTCTCGCTAATGAAGCAGGGATAATGTGACGGCATCTCACCCTGCTCTGTTGTCACCAAGGTCCTCCAAATCGCTCTCTCTTTCTCACCCCCCTCCCTTTCTTCTCTTCTCCCTCTCTGTGCACATTCTAGCCCGGGGGGGAGGGCTCTGCCCAGGCACACCAGGATCCTGACCCCCACCCCGAGTGCTGTCACTTTTCTCTCCTCCTTTTCTTGTCTCCACATTGATCTCCCCCCCTTCCCCTGCTCCTCAGCGCCTCCCCTTGCTCCTACCTGAGCTCCTGTACTGCCGTAACCTGTGACCAGAGATAAGACAGGGAGGCCTGGTGGAGCATATATTTGTGGGGGGGGGGGCAAAGCGTTACCTTTGTGTTATCATGCTGCTAGTAGTGCTGGCTGCAGTTGGGGCAGGGGGGGTATAGTGATCAAAAAACTGATTGCATTCTTTTGCTATGCATGTGGGATGTTTAAGCACAAATTCATCTGCATGAATTAGTTTGAAGCTGAAGACCCAACTCTGACTGATTTCTCTCTGTCACACTTAAAGAATATAAGCTATTCAAAGGTGCCCCTGTCTTCTTCATATGAACAACACAGCCTTCCACATACTCATGGAAGATGTACGCATCCTCAGCGCAGGGACCGGCCCTTTCTTTCCTTATTCCTGTTCCATCTTCCACCTTCTCCCTTGATATATCTTTTATTTTTGTTTCCCTGGTTTTTGAACCCCGCCGCCTGTCAGGATTTCTCCGTCGTATTTTTCTGTATGCCTTGTGCTAAAAACAGGCCCCGCAAACGGCAGGCAGTGTGATTACAGAGCATTTCGTGGTGGGAACCGAGCTTTAGGCTTATTGCCGGTGCGTCAGCGCGGCGGCCAGGAGCAGGGCTAACGACGGCAGGTAAGGGGCACCTCCAAGCATTCGTGGCTGATGAAACACAGCAGGTCACGGTTTACTATCTGAGTCACTGCTGTGTGTGTGTGTATGTGTATGTAATCAGATTTAACCATCAATAAGTAAATGTGATCTCTGTGTGTGGCTGTCTAAATCAGAGTTTACCATCTATGAGTCATAGCAGTGTGTGTGTGGGTCTGTCTAAATCAGATTACACCATCAATAAATAAGTGTGATCTGTGTGTGTCTGTTTAAATTAGAGTTTACCCTCTGTGGGTCAGAGAGTGTGTGTGTGTGTGTGTGTGTGTGTGACTGTCTATATCAAATTTCACCATCAGTAGATAAGTGTGATCCGTGTGTGTGGCTGTATATATTACTTTTTTTTGTCTCCATGAGTCATTGTGGTGTGTGTGTCTGTCTAAATCAGAATATATCGTCTATGACTCACTGTAGTGTGTGTGTGTGGCTGTCTATATCAGATTTCGCCATGAATAAGTAAGTGTAATCTGTGTCTGTGAGTGTGACTAAATCAAACTTCACCATCCATAAATGAGTGTAGTCTGTGTGTGTGGGGCTGTGTAAATCACATTCATCTATGAATCAGTGTAACATGCATGTTTAATTCATATCTCCTGATCTAAGAGTCAATACAGAGTGTATGTGTGTGTGTGTGTGTGCGTGCATTTAATCCACAGATGTCTTTGAGTCATCGTAACAGGTGTGTGTGCGTGTCTGTGCGACTCTATAAGACAGAGTTTGAATATTGAGAACTATAAAAATACAAATAAATGTATATATGTACATATTTGTGGTTTGTGGTCCAGTGAATGACTTTTAAGTTGCACAATGTTCCCAGTAAGACCCCAGGGCCGACTACATTCACGCATCTGACGTCACACTCACGCTTTCAGACTGTCACGCTCACCGTAAATCTATGTCATTGAAAAGCCTCTCCGGCCACCTTCAACCCTGAGAGCCACAACCTGTGATCAAGTCCACAGGCCCAGCCTACTCAACCACCCACCCACCGTCTACCTC